AAACATGTAACCCTTGCTAACGGACACGCACTGCCGTGCAAAACGGCCACCGTCCACACCACCTGTAGTCGTGCACAGAACGTGGTCAAGGGCGTTCCACAATGGCTTCTGTTACAAGATGAGGTCTGTGTATGCTCACCCCCATCAACGTTGTTATTCAGGACGGTTCTCTCATTGAAATCTGAACTTTCTCGGGTGAAAAATAACACCCACAGGGTCGGATGAGGTCAGGTGTGGCTTGCTCTGTATCTCAAGCCCAGAAAGATGAGTTAATTCTTGAAGGAAACGACATTGAACTTGTATCAAACTCAGCTGCTTTGATTCAGCAAGCCACAACCAGTAAAACTGAGGATATCAGAAAATTTTGGGGGTTGTCTATGCTCCTGAAAAAGGAACAGTTCAGCAGGCTGGTGAATAAGATCGAAGCTGTCCCGTCACAGAAACAGCAAGATGCCAGATGATTTTTCAGACTTCTTGTGATATTTTATTTATTTATTTTTAAAGATTTTATTTGTTTATTTGAGAGAGAGAAAGAGAGTGAGAGACAGCCCAAGAGGGGGTAGGGTCAGAGCGAGAAGCAGCCTCCCCACTGAGCAGGGAGCCCGACGTGGGACTCGATCCCAGGAGTCCGGGATCATGACCTGAGCCGCAGGTAGTTGCTTAACCGACAGCCACCCAGGCGCCCCTAGACTTTTTGTATATTTTAAAGATGCAGTAAAAGCTGTATTGATTTGGGGGAAAAATGTCTTTTTTTTACTGGGCAAAGTTTAATACCAACAGTGATTGCATTATTCTTTCTTTTCAATCTAAAATATAATTTTTAGGGGTGCTGGGTGGTTCAGTCGGTTGAGTGTGTCCGACTCTTGACCTCAACTCAGGGTAGTGAGTTCAAGCCCCACATTGGGCTCCATGCTGGGCGTGGAGCCTAGTTTAAAAAATATGTATGTGTGTGTGTGTGTGTGTATATACATATATATATGTATATATATATATAATACATACATTGTATACATGTATATATATATTACATATATATATATAATTTTTAAAATTCCTAAATGGCTTTGGGTCTTGGGTTAATATTAAATTATTTGCCTGAAAATTTGTAAAGTAATTAAAATTCATGGAGACCGAAAGATACGTGTTTGTCACACAATCCCAGATATGCTTCTTCCTGTTTTCTCTGCAAATAAACACATTTGTTTTAGGCACTGAAATTAATACAGTAAAATCAGTGGGTTTCAGCAGTCTCTTCTGCTTGATAAGGTTAATTCCATTTCGAAATGGAAGCGTTAGCTAACAGGGCCCCACAGGCCCGCTTCTGTCATTGCACACAGGCGCACGAATCCGCGGGCCTTGTCAGGACACACCCAAGGCAGCACGGAGGAGGGGACAGAGAACCGGACACAATGGGGTTCACCTAGGAGGGGTGTGAAGCCCCTTCTGCCTCCTGCAGATTCTGCCTGGAAAGTAGGACTTTCCCTCACCCTGAGGCGCACTCCCGTTTCTCAGAAAGTCAGTAAAATTCTGTGCTATCTCGTGAGGGGACTGAGGACCCGTGGTGACAGCTGTGAGGCTCCGTGTTGGGGGGGGAGCTGCAGCGCTTACTTCTTCTCCGTGGACCCACAGGGGCGGGGCCTTCTCAGGCACCTTGGCTCTGACCTTGACCCTGTGTCCCTCGGTGTCTCCGGAGGCCCTTCTCCAAGAACAGGGCTGCCGAGGGTGCACCGCATGCCCGGGGAAGTCACGGCACATCTGTGAAGCTGTGTGGGGGCAGCGAGTACGCCCCACACTGCTCCGTGAAGCTACACCCTCTGGGGCACGGGGGGTGGGGGTGGGGGGGCAACACCGTGTCCGGAAACGTCCACGAGAAAACTGCTCAGGTGCCCGCGTGTAACTGATTGTCCCTCCTGCACTCCTCGTCACCCAGGAAAATACGTAAAGCAGAGAAAAACTGAAAGCCAGCACTCCCTGGTCCATTTAAACTTTCACCAAGTCCTTGCAGTACTGGGGGGGGGGGGGGGGGCGTTCCCTTGCTGCAAAGTCACTGCCTTATTTAGGGACAGAAAACCAGCCAGTCCCGCCAGATCCCCAGTGGGCTGCCTTGTCTTCTCCAGAGCGCACTCCGATGCACGGGATGCTGGGGACACGAGTCGAGCTTTCTGCTCCACTCAACACCACCACTGACCACGTCACCCTTGGAGCTGGGGGAAGAACGAGTAAGCAGACCCTCTGCCCCTGGATGGGCTCACACCACCATGATGGAATATGCTGGCCACCCTGCACCTGAGAATGAGGAACCGTTGGGCAAACCCAAACAGGGCCATTGCCTAAAACTGGCCCGCGTTCTTCAAAACCACAGTCCGGAAAGACAAAGGGGATTAAAGAGCAGCGGTGTGCAGGCACGTGCTCAACAAGAGGTTCCCGGGGGAAGAGGCCATGGGTGCAGCGTTTGCCGATTTCCGCGGTGGAAGTACCTCCCCTCCCCCGCCGGCCAATTTCAAGCTGCCCCTGTGCCCATGGCCATGCCCCCGAATGCAGACACGGGAGGAGATGCACGGAGCTTCCACCAGACGGACACGACATACCCAACCCCGCCAACTTACACAGCAGTAAGATGTAGTGTGACAACGAGGAAGTGCTGACTTTTGTGTTTATCTTTAAGACACAAACGTATGTAATTTAATTTCTAATAATGGCTGTGTTTCACAAAGAGCTTGCAAAATTCCTGGAAATCACCACCACCAAAGAAACAGGACAACTAAATGCAAGGCATGATTCTGGATTGGGTTTTGGATTCGGGGGAAAATGATATGAAGGACATTACTGGTGGCTTGTATATTAGACAATGTTCAATTTTCTGAGTTTGATACTCATATTGTGTGTATGTAAATACACGTGCTTGCTCTCAGGAAATGCATGTTAAGTATTTGGAGGTGGTACTAGAGTGTCCAGGGCCGCTGTAAAGAAGAGCCCCAAACTGGAAATTTATTTTCTCCCAGTTCTGGAGGCCAGAGGTCCGAAATCCAGGTGTTGGAAGGTGCCTGGAGCCTCTGAGGGAGAACCCACTGAAGAAAATGAACAGCCAGGCTCCAGAATGGGAGGAAATACATGGAAGACAAGAATCTGACGGAAAACTAGTATCCAGGACGTGTAAGGAAGTCCTACCGCTCAGTAACAGATGCTAGACAGCCCAAATTCAAAAAAGGCAAAATACTTGTGCAGACACTTCCCAGAACGATCAGGAAGGGGCCGCGAGCACAGGGAGAGCTGCTGCCCCACATCGCCAGGCGCTGAGCAGCACCCATGCAGAGGGGACCGCCCGCCCACCCGCCCGCCCGCCGCCAGCCTGACGTGGTGGGAGGACTGGTGTGTGCGCGCTGGCCGGAAGGCACACGGGGCCACCACACCGGAGACGGCTCGGCAGCTTTTAGTTCGGCTCAGCATGCACTTGCCATAAATTCCAGAAACACCGCTAATAACGGGGACGTGTGCTGGCCACACACACTCCCGCAGCAGCCTCGGGCCCGAGAAGTGCCAGCAGCTCCGAGGTGCCGCCAGCCGCAGGTGCCCGGGGACACGGGCTGTGACCCGCCACGCGGCGGACGCGTCAGAAGTACACGCAGCACGGACACCGCCAGACGTTACTGTGAGCGCAGGCGGCGCGGGCCCGGACGGCTTGGCGTCTAGCGCTGGAGGCCAGGCCGGCGCCTGGGACCAGGACGGGGCCTCGCTGCCGAGGGACCGCAGCGCCTCGCCGGCTCTGTGCGGTCCCCTGGCAGACGCGCCTGCAGGTCACCCAGCTGTCTCCTCCCGGGTTCCTACTGTGTGTGAACTAGATCTCCGTAAGCGGCCGGAAGACAGGGTGCCCGCCACCCTTCTGGGGCACGAGCACGATTCTGTTTCTGTCCGGGTGTCCGTGACAAGAGTGGGTTCGTGAAACACTAAGCTCCACATGCGTGTGCCCTCTGCCCCACCTAAGGCACTCTTTAACTCCGATAACGTTAAACAGAAAATATGCAGCTGGAGAGAGACAGAGGGTGAGGTTGTGCACAGGGGGACACGCACTTTAGTGCCACTCCTGCCCAACGGGGACCGGCTTTCAAAGGCTGCATACGGCTCGCCCACAGTTGTCACCCGCAGAACACGGCTGATGGCCCCTCGGCCTCCGGAGCCGGCCCACCACGCGCCGTGGCCACCTTCCTCCAGCTCACGCGCTGACACGACGCTGTCCATGAGCAGCTGGCCTCTTCCCACAGCCAAAATGTCTACACTCACAGGATGCACGAGACCCATCTGCAAATCTTCGTACTAGACGCGTCCGATCCCGCGGCAGCTGGGCCCCCCTGCGGGACACTGGCCCACCAGCAAGGCCCTCTGTGGTGGGTGTGGCGGCATCACCACTTACCCTGGGCCTGGGCCTTATTTCATCCTCAGCTCACCGCCGCAGAGGTGAGGAACTGGGACCCGAGGGGTCGCAGAACAGCAGCGAGTGAGAGAAACTCAGGGGAACACCCCCTGGGCTTTTCTCAGAGGAAGTCAATGTCCTACAAGCGCAGGAAGCACGGACTTCCACCCACGAGAGTATCTATCTATCTGGGGAATGTCCCCCTCCATCTCCACACTCGGGAGCTCAGCTCCCGGCTCTCCCGTCTGCTCACTCCTGCTCAGAGCTCCAGCGAGACCGGGGTGGGGAGGGTCTGGGGGGCCGCATGCTAACAATCCCCCAGTGAGAGATCCGGCTCTGGGCCGCTTCCTCGGGGCTGGAACGCTCTGGAGAACCCCCGGCTGTGGAGGGAATGGCTCACAGAGGAACTTCATTCCTATCTCGACTTGCATCTGGTAAACAGAGATGGAATGAAAAAGCTAACCTGTCCCAGCCGTCCTCCTGTGGTAACATCCTTGACTTGCCTAGAAGGCAAAGAAAGAAGAGAAGCTAGTAATTATCGAGAGCTTACATGGTTTGAAGGAACCAAAAGAAAAGATATTCCACCAAGAACTTTACTGGTAACACCTTTTTAATAGGTCAAAGTAACTGTACAGTTCATTATATTCTTCCTGAGAATAATTTATATCCCCCGACAAACTAAAGGGAGGGTATATTTTTCAAAATTATTTAACAGAATGGATGGTGTAACTGGACATCAGAAAGAAAACCCAATCCCTCTGCTTTGCTTAACTGTCTCCTGGGAAGACAGACACAACGAAGGGTTAGTTAGCCCCAGTGGCTGCAAGATAGTCAACATGGCTTTACTCTTTCTTTATAAATTATATAAAACTGGAAAACAGGGATGGTTCCAGAACCTCTCCCCAATGCAGTTTGGAGGTGCTCTGGTGCAAAGCATTTCTGCTTCCAGGAGAAATAACATTGGTACAAAAAACTGGCACATTATTCTGGTGAGAAAAGACAAAGTTTTTAGTGTGTTCTACAGCTAGCTTCCAACCAGATCTTCACATATCCAACAGGAAAGTAAAAGGCAGGAAAGACAAAGGGTTGTTGTGTTTTTCTGAAAGGACTCAAGTCTTCAAAATATAGCTCTGATATTCTTTCTCCTAAAGTGGTGTCAGCATATTGCAACTCAAGAGTGTTCTCACAACAGGGACTCCAGTCTGGGCCACGGCTCTGCGGCACGCCAAAGAATTCTCAGCCCCTCGGGTTTCCCGGAATTCTCCGCCTCGTCTCCCTGTCTCCCAACATGCAGCCAAGCTGGTTCAGGATCCGCACGCCACCGCCTTGGCCATTTCCACTGAAACACACCCTAACATGAACATGATCTGTTCTTCGGGATTCTTAAAGGCTTCTCACGAACAATTTTCATTCTCAAAAAATGCCACATTTTGGATCCTGGACTTTTCTGAACACTATCATTAAAAAAAAAAAAACAACAACACAAAAAAACGAACTCAAATCAAATGTGGTTAAACTTATATGAAAGAGATTTTCAACCAGCTGTCAGTCAGAACCGTTGGCACGGTGAGTGCCGGCGGCCGAGGACCGCGGAGCCCCTCACTGCTGGTGGAACACGGGAGAACGTCCTCAGAGAGCGCCCCTCAATGCGGCCTCGTCGGTCCGAGCATCCGCAGTCTCGCTTGGTCAATGACGTCGAGTAAGTTTTTGGCATCCACGGCCAGGGCGTGAGCCGCGGTCAGCATTTGCTTTTTGTACTCCTGCTGGAGACTGGTCATGACGTACTGCTGGGCCAGTTTCATCTTGTTGATGAGCTCACCCAGGTCGGAGTTCAACAGCTTCTGGGCCATCTCAATCTGGAAGGACAAGAGAGAGGTCAGGAGAGGCACGTTCCATCAGCTGTTCCTTGGGTGCCTCCAAGAGAAGAAATTTTCTTCCCCTTACACAAATCTTCCACGCATCCTGCAGCCTTCTGCTCCTTCCACAAAAGCCTTCAGTGACTATTAACTCAGTGACTGGTGGAGCTTTTGCTTCTTAAAAGAATCACAGTCTGGCAGAACCCCAGAGGCCACCCAGCCCAGAGCCCTCCCATCAGAGGGGGCAGCTGGGGCAGATTTGCTGAGGTCCACCAGCCGGCTGGCTTCCAGTCAAAACTGGAAGTCAACACCTGGCTCTGGACTCACAGCCATGTGTCAGGTCCCGCCTCTGCTGTGTAAGAGGAGACCCCCCCCTCCCCGGAATTGCTGAGAGGTGGGACCAGGGCTGCAGAGCTGGAAGAAGCTGCCCTGAGGATCAGCGCACTTTGCCTGGGTGTCTCAGGACCTTTCTCATCTGTTCGTTCAACCAGTAACGACTTAGCACTCAGTCTTTTGATGATCACTGAGCACTCACACACGAGGCACTCAGTGGTGTGGACACAAGTGTCTGAACACGCTTGCGCTCATCTAGTGTGAAGCCCACATACAACTCCCTAGGACACACTGGGAAGAATCATACAACAGAAAGACAGCAATCCATTTGTTCTGAGAGGGTCAGACGACTTCACAGAAGAGAAGTCGTTTGAAATTGGCCTAGATATAAAAGGAGGCTGGCCTCCTCTGAGGAGGGCCCCACGAGCCATGCCACGTTACCTCTGTCCTGCTGAATGTGCCAGTGGGGAGGCCAATGAGATTTTTAGCAAGGGGAACACCATCCTCCACAGAGGTGTTCTAGAAAGAGGGCTCTGGTGGCGGAGTGTGAACGTGGAATGGAGGGGCGGGAAAGCCAGAGGCAGAGAAGGGAGCTCAGAGGCTGTTGTGGGAACCGAGGGAAGAGGGGATGGTGACAGTGAGGATGGAGAGGCCAGGCGCCGGATGTGACGTGACAACACAGGCGGAAGGCTGCTTGTACGTGTGCGTGGGAGAGCACGGTTCACAGGGGCAGCCGCGGCAAGTGTGTGTGGGTCCCACTGTCTGTGGAAACAAACCGGGAACAGCAGAATGTCCTGCGGAAGCAGACGTCCCACAGGCAGCTGGTGACCCCAGCTCAGGGAGAGGTGCCTCTGAAAGCACAGAGTTGGATGCATCAAATACTGGATCTGTGCTCGTGGTGGAGACCCGCCAGGGAGAAGCAGCATTCTGTAAGACGTGACGTGGGTGTTTTACACCCATGCAGCCCCTCGGGGGACAGCCACACTCAGGGCAGCGGGGAAGAGGGGCCAGGATTGGGGGAGCATGGCTGCCGCTGGCCCCGGGGAAGTTGCAGTAGAGAACTGGGGATGAGCTGGCCCGGGAGGACAGGCTGCTCTGAGGTAGTACAAGGGGGACTGAGGAAGGGGGAGCAAGATCAAAGAAAGCTCCTCTCCTTTTAAAAAATAATTAAGAATACATATGGGACCTCACACCAGTCAGAATGGCTAAAACTAACAAGTCAGGAAACGACAGATGTTGGCGGGGATGCGGAGAAAGGGGAACCCTCCTACACTGTTGGTGGGAATGCAAGCTGGTGCAGCCACTCTGGAAAACAGTATGGAGGTTCCTCACAAAGTTGAAAATAGAGCTACCATACGATCCAGCAATTGCACTACTGGGTATTTACCCCAAAGATACAAATGTAGGGATCCGAAGGGGTATGTGCACCCCGATGTTTATAGCAGCAATGTCCACAATAGCCAAACTGTGGAAAGAGCCAAGATGTCCATCGACAGATGAATGGATAAAGAAGATGTGGTATATATATACAATGGAATATTATGCAGCCATCAAAAGGAATGAGATCTTGCCATTTGCAATGACGTGGATGGAACTGGAGGGTATTATGTTGAGTGAAATAAGTCAAACAGAGAAAGACATGTATCATATGACCTCACTGATATGAGGAATTCTTAATCGCAGGAAACAAACTGAGGGTTGCTGGAGTGCGGGGTGGGGTGGGAGGGATGGGGTGACTGGGTGATAGACACTGGGGAGGGTATGTGCTATGGTAAGCGCTGCGAATTGTGCAAGACTGTTGAATCTCAGATCTGTACCTCTGAAACAAATAATGCAATATATGTTAAGGAAAAAAAAAAGAAGAAGAAGAAGAAGAAGGTAGCGGGAGGGGAAGAATGAAGTGGGGGAAATCGGAGGGGGAGACGAACCATGAGAGACGATGGACTCTGAGAAACAAACTGAGGGTTCTAGAGGGGAGGGGGGTGGGAGGATGGGTTAGCCTGGTGGTGGGTATTGAGGAGGGCACATTCTGCATAGAGCACTGGGTGTTGTGCACAAACAATGAATCATGGAACACTTCATCTAAAACTAATGATGTAATGTATGGGGATTAACATAAGAATAAAAAAAAAGAATACATACGGGATAGCGAGTTGTGTAGAAAAATCAGCGTAGACGCAGAGTTTATTTCAGGCTTTACCAGCTAAAGTAATAATTTAGAAATGGCCCTGCCAAAATATTTACTTGTTAGGATACCATTTTCTTGCCTCTGGCAAATGGAACTTTTCCACTTTTTGGCAAAGTTCTTACTCACTGTGGAAGACCAATTAAAGTCACAATGAAGCCAAGGAACAAGCTAATGCCCTAAACGGCTAGAAATATAAAATTGCACTGTGCAGTCAGGCATTTTCCAAAATGATTTTGGTGGTTTCGTGCAGGTGAACCGATGCCCTTTACAAAGGAAGCGTGGATGGGGGCTGTGCCAGGCCATCAAGATGGGCATCAGCGGGCCACTGTCCTGAGAAGCACTCAGCCCCAATCTCATCAGGAGGAAACCTCAATTGTTACAGGACATCCCTCAACCCCACTTTAGGAATACTGTCTAAGGTAACTGGCCATACTCTTCCAAAATACTGACGGCAGAAAGATGAAGTCTGAGGACCTGCTCCAGGCGGAAGCAGACTCCCAAACAAACGGGCGTGTGGCCTCGGGCAGGACACACAGCCCTGCTGGCCTTGAACTAGAGGGTGAAACTACTGGACGTGACCGCCCACGAGGACCGTAAGGGGGTGCTGACAGCCCAGCTGTCCAAACCCTCCAGGTGAGAGAACAGCCTCCTGATTGGAGATACAAATGGAAACAAGGAAGGCAAGAAGCGTGACACAGGAGACCTGCTCTCAATCGGTTCAGAGAAAGGAGACGGCGGGTGTAGACAGACAGAGAATGTGGGAAATGTTAAAAGGCAGTGAAACTGGGTTAAGGATATTCAGGGATTCTCTGCATTATTCTTGTAACTTTTCTTTAAGTTTGACATCACTTCAAATAGAAGACTAGCACCCACTAGGCTGTAGGGCTAGAGAGAGTAGAAAAGTGGGTGCAGGAGCTAGGAGAGAGGGGAGTGAGAAGGGCAAGCAGAGCCAGGGCCGTCACGAACTCCAAGGGACACAGCTCTATGTGCACGTGCGGCCCGGGCAGCATACACCTCTGGAGGCCGGGGAGCACCCCTTGGAGGTCAGGGCACATCTCTGGAGGTTGGGATGCACCCCTGGAGGAGGCTGGGGAGCACCTCTGGAAACTGGCATGGCTGGGAGCATTTTTAAAATAATGCAAGTGTGTCTGCTCATTTGTTAGTTCAACACATGATGCAAAATGGCCAAAAATGGCAAAAATGAGATTATTGCTGAGAGACAGGATTTTGGGTGAAGTCTGATTCCTTAAAAAAATTTTAACACACATGTATTAATTTAAAAGGCATTTTTTTTTAATCACTGCTGTATGTGGAAAACCAGCATCATTTGCAAACTATAATTTTTTCAGAAAAATTCATGGGAGGAGGGCAGGCTCCTCCCAGTTCATTTCTGCTGTCCTTTGGCTTCAACCTGAGTTGGTGCCGAAGGATTTGGCCCTCACCCAGCTCTGCCCCTGTGCTCCCTGCCATCCCCACAGCCACCTGTCCTTTGGGCCCCGACCCCCCGGCTCAGGAGCTGGCAGCGAAGGCGTGGGATCTAACTAGCCCCAGTGGGTGCCGCTCCCTGGCTGTAAGGTCTTGACCTCAGAGCAGCGGGGGCATCACAGCCCCTGCCCGGGGCACGTCCCGCCGCACTGTCTGCGCAGGAAGGGGCGCCATGTCCTACCTCTCGGTGAGTGCTGGCTGGCAGGACCGGGAGGGTCTCGTCCACAGTGGCCAGTAACGTCCGCAGGGCCAGGCCGACTTCCTAGCAGACAAGACCACACCCGGGATCAGAGCACGCACAGAGCACGCTCCAGAAGCGATGCCTCCTCTCAGTTACGGGGTTGTCTCCTTTCCAACACTTCAAGGACAATTTCTGTACTTCTTTTCCTGAGTACTGAGCCTGATCTGAAGTGATTAGGCTTTCCCCCAAAGACTGAGATCTCTGAATGCTCAGAATGTGATCTCTGATGGAAGATGAGGAAGGACATTCTGACACCTGAGACCGCATAGACGAACCTCAGTGAGAGGAACCCGTCCCAAAAGGACAGATACAACGGGACGCCACTCCTCCTCTCCTCTGTGCCCTGGAGTCCCCACGTTCACGGGGACAGGGAGTGGATGGGGCGCCAGGGGCCGGGGGAGGGGCACTGATGTTTAATGGGGACAGAGTGTCAGTTTTGCAAGGTGAGAGGAGTTTTGGACATTAGTCGTCTAACAATGTGAATGTACTTAACACCACTGTAAGCTTAACAGTGGCTAGGATGGTAAATTTTACGTTCTGTGTATTTTACCACACTTTTAAAAAAGTGTGTTCAAGTATATGTTCCAGAAATACAGGCTTAAAGCAAAGCTTCATAGCACTCTTTGAACTGCAGAACCCCCTGATAAGGCTCACGAATGCCAGTGTGCCCTGCTCAGGGGTGGGTGGGGGGGCACCTAGCCTCCTTTCTCGCAGAGCTTCTGGTACTCTCTCCCAGGACACCACGCCCCCGGACACAGCTTGGCAAGGTGAGGCTAGTGCAGAATATTTTCATTTCTATCTTTTCACCTTATTAAAAAAGATTTTGTGAGCACCCACATATCCACCCCTCCCTGGAAGAAAACAGCACAGACAAAGCCCCCATCGTCTCTCTCCACAATGGCCCCTCCCCCAGGGCAGCGTCTGAAGGTCAAGTGCTCTCCGCACGCGCAGGTGCTGCGTGTCCCCAAGGCGCGCACAGCACGGGTCTGCATGCTTTCAACTTCACAGAAATGGCACCTTGCAGCTCGATTTTTCACGCAAGACCGTGAGCGAGCAGTGGCTGTTAAAGCCTGTGCTGCTCTAAGCGCCAGGGGCGGGAATGGCAGTCGGTCTGACGTCACTCGGTCATGCACAACTTCTGACACATTTCCTCCTGGCGGAGGGCTGGGTTTTACCTTCACCATGGGAACGTACTCCTCTGGCGGGGCTGGCTGGATCTTGCTGGACATCTCGATGACAGCCTTCACCAGGCCCGTCACATTCTCGTACACCCTGTCGTTGGACCGGTCCAGGTTGGCAGTGGGCGGGGGGCTGATTTCCTGGGGCTGAAGCTGCAACACAGAAGCCGTTATGCCCCCAGGCCCCACAAGGGGGCGGCACCTCACCGCAGCTAAGTTACAGAGGGTCTTTAAAAGAGATCAAAGTGGATCACAATTGACTGGCTTGTCTGCATGGCTACAGCTCAGTTGGAGGATGACAGTCAAGTAATTCATCCAAGTGACAAATGAGCGAGGCAATCATTTTTTGTAACTTTGAGCTCAGTTAAAGGAAATGAAGTGGAATCATACCCATGGTGCTAAAAGCCCCAGATTCTTTCAGAGTAGTGATTCGACACCCCCCCCAAATCATTCACCAAGAGAAAGAATTCATGTGTTCTACGTCTCTCTGAGGATTTCACGGGAAGCTGGCTAGGGGGTCAAGCATTCTATGTTAAGACTCTAAGAACTCCTGCTTAGTCTGACTCCTGCCGTCCGAACTGCATGGCTCAGCGTGGCTGCCTCCAGACCACTTCACAGACACGTGTGTCCCCTTCATGACTGGAACAAGTGGACAGATGCGAGTCTCGTGAAGCGGACCCCATCTGCTTGCACCGCGTTGCGGCATTGAGGAGCCCCGAGGTGTACGTGCCAGTGGCCGGGCCTCGGCTCCTCACAGGGCCATCGGGGCGAGGGGGACCTGAAGGAGCTCTTGGGCACAGGCCCTCCCCAGTGCCCGGGCACACAGACACCGATGAATGTTACCCACGAGAAGCCGAGTGAGCGCAGGGCCTGCGGAACGTGTCCAACAGCATTTGAAAGTTCACAGGGGTAACACCAGGCACAGAAAGGGCCGTGCTTGTCTACTTTAAGAAAACTACAAGTGCAGTACGTAATCGTAGCTGCCTGCTGATGGGTCTGCTGCCAGCGCTCAGTCGAAACCTCTAGATGCCCATTCTGAACCTTCGGGCTGACTCTGTCTGAGGAACCGGGAGCCTGGTGTTCAAGTCTGATGCGAGACAGCCACGGACAGGGATAGTTCAGGCCCTGCAAAGATGTTCATGCCTCAGTCTCTGGCAAATAAAGACCTTGTCTCTGGTGATAAGCCAAGCAAAAGTGCCCTCCCCAGGCTCCCTGATTTCTGCTCCAGAGTCACATGCAGAGCGCTAGGAGTGAAGGAGTGGGACACACACACAGACACAATGTGCTTACCCTCCATGGCTATTGTTGAACGGGAGGTGAGGAAAAGTTAGAGAAATTTATCAGAGAAGGGGAAAAAAGAAAAACAGTATTAATAAAGGCAGCAGACAAAACCCCCACAAAAACACATGAGCAGAACCAAAAGGAACGAGCTTGAAGCCTGCCTAGGAGCCAGCCCCCGGTTCCCTGGTCTTCCAGGCACAACAGCTGGGCCATTGGTCCATGGTGCCGGCGCACTCGGTAAGGAGGCCTGCCACGCGCCATGCTTGTTTTCATGAGGTAAATGAGAGAAAACAACACGCAAAGCCAGAGAGGGACAACCTGGCAGCCATGCGAGTAGCAAAGCATTAGGGGTCCTCAGAAAGAAGAGGCCTTGAAATGTGCTTGACATCCCTGGGAACTGCCCGTCGGGCTTCTGGGCCACTGGGAGAGACTGTCCCACGCTGGCACCCCGCGCCCAGCCCCCGGCATCCTGGGAAACAGGCTTTGCCATTAGCTATCCCACCACCATCAAGATCCCTGGCTTGGGGCTGGTTGTAAAGACATCAGGAGCTTATTTTAAAAACAAAAAGAAAAACTAAAAAAACAAACAACAAATCCTTCTTTTGAGCCAACTCTTACGTTTCAGACTCCTTTATTTTTAACTTAGTTTTATTTAGTGCTTTTTCTTCTACAGCTTACACCAAGGCCATCCTATTCCTGTTGTAACTTAAAAGACCAAGTTAACTGGGGAAAGGTGGCTATCTTGCCCCCCTCCTCAACTATGTCTGAAACAGGTGTACCCTTTGGTATAGGAGTTCAGCAGAATCTTAGATTTCAAGGCCCAACCTTCTACAGTGTCTTCCCTGCATTAGAAAGAGGGAGATCACTTCAAGAGAGGACATCTCTGTCTCTTCCCTTCTGCACTGAGAGTCACACGCGGCCCTGTGATGAACTCTGCAGATGTGCCACTTCAGACTGGATCAACATAAAGGCGCAGCTTCCGCAACAGGTGACGCAGGCGGGGCTCCATTAGGAAGAACCTCGGCCATTCCGGACTCCAGGAGGCAAAGGCTGCTTAATGCTAACCTATTTGAAGCTTCTGTTCTTCTGTATGTGCCCTGTGCCCAATCAAGGCGGGTCACAGAAGCACTGTCCCGGTGCCTCCAGCCACCACGCACAGTAACACCCCCAAAGCCAAAGCTTTGCTACAGTTTCCTAGTTTCTGGGGCTTGCCAACTTGGAGGTTCCTTGGCAGACAGTTGGGATAAAGCACCACCCCCCAAGAGACATACACAATTCCAACCGCTTAGGTGGGTGCCTCAAGCTTAAATAATCCAGAATTGAAACAAAGCCACCAAAGGAGAAACTGAGGTGGATTTCGGATCAAATGTTATCTGGATGAGTTCCATTAGTTACACCTAGCGATAAGCATTTCTGTGTTAAGACAGTATTGTTTTTAGGCTGGATTCAGTAATCTCTACTGAACAGGCGGATAAGGAAGAACTAGAGACATATACTTCATATTTATTTTTTTTAAGTAGGCTCCATGCCCAGCACAGAGCCCAATGAACTCACGACCCTGAGATTAAGAGCCTGAGATCAAGAGTCAGACACGTAATGGCTGAGTCACCCAGGCACCCCTACTTCATTATTAAAGAAATCTTTACTTAATGCATTTTAGGTAAGCATGCTATATCCATCATGATTTCTACTTGCCTCAAACCCTCTATAAGGGTATTTTCCAATTATAGTCATTCACGTTATTACAAATGTAAAGGCAAACATTCACGTTATTACAAATGTATGTCGGAATTCTGAGCTGGTATCTGAGCTCCCTCTCAAGTTGGTTTTTCCTTGTAATACAAGCCATTTTGAAAATTTCCTCTTGTGGCTCATGTAAATGACAAACTTCATTAACCTAATTTCTCTTTCTTCCCTTTTTAAATTTATGTCAAGAAACCACATTAGGAAGGGCCGTGTCCCCTTTTGCTCCTCCTCAGAGAATACCCCGTGCAGTGCCCCTGAGCTGGGGGCAGGGGGGGCCGCCGGACGCCAAGCCCCGGGCCGAGCTCCAGGACCAGCGCTCTGGTTTCTGGGGGCTGACCACCAGCCCTCAGAGCTGGGGTGCCTCTGACCCAGTGGTGCCTGGGCTGCATCCCTCAGGGGGCACGCGGGGCCAGCCAGGGCCAGCCCGTTCACTCCCTGCTCACCGCCCCTCTGGGCTGGAGATGGCATTTTCTCTGCCGAGGGCCTCCTCTCTTCTCTCTGGGAATCAGCCCAGCCTGCTGGCTAAATGCTGGCTCAGCTGGGGAGCCTGTAACCTTGAATATGCCCTTTAACCTCTGTGAACCTTGCCGTGTCATGTGAAAACTAGAACAATACTACCACCACCAATCCTGTGAGGCTGATGTGAGGACAGGCTCTGTCACAGCACATGGTACAGGGAGGGCAAGCCACGAGGGTGGTTATTGGTGAAACGAAGTTTCTCTTAACTGATAACAAAGTTACCAGGTTCAAAGATCCCACCCACTGCAGGAGGCACCTTTTTAATGTTCCTCTAAGGAAAAAAAAAGCTGCCAATTAAACCAACACATCACCCTGATTTTAGAAATGTTAAAATGTACAAAAAAGGTATATCAGAATTAAGAAACAAGATATATTTTGAGAGATGACTGATGTCTCACGGCAAATAGAGAGATCCTCTCATTAAATGGGCACGAGAAAGAAGGAGAACCCTTGCCTTTGCTTCTCGTGAGAGGAGAGCTGCTTCCAAGGGGCCCAGAGGCCAACGTGGCAGGGTCTGGTGGAGGCCGGGGATGGAGGCCGGGGACGGGCGTGGTCAGGAGCCCTGACGGCCCCCTCACACGTAGCAGGGCAGGCTGTGCGTGCAGCGCTCCTGGCCGAGGAGAAGTTGGGGCCATCAGCCCCTGAGCCACACGCTCCCCTCCTCCGAGGGCTGGTTCCACACAGCCCACGCCACTTCACTACAAATGCAGTCCTGGCCCCAGGTGGAAAACGGTGGCAGTTTTCCACTAAGCCACACCGACACACTTAAGAGACAGTGAGCCCGCAGAAGGGCTCCCTTTCCCCAGGCATCCTGGTTTAATTAATGTTTAGAACCAGAAGCCATCCCAGCACTTTAGTCCCAAGAAACATTCTGCCTGATAAGAGAAAAACCTTTATCTAGGAACTCAGGCTCTGACTGAGGCCCAGACTTTATCATGTGAGAGAAAACCAGACGAGACAGGCTCCTGTCAAGCTTGCTCCGGACTCTCGGGAGGGGTGCAGAGCCCTACCAAACGGATGCCTGGGGCCCACGGCAGCACCACTCTGCTCATTCCGTCCTCAGCACTGACTCCACTTCAAGTTCCTGATCACCAAGCCCGCAACGAAAGGCCCCACAGAGCCTCGAGCAGAGCTCGGCTCAGATGCCCACCTTGACGCCCTCGTTGTAGCTGTCCCCGGGGCTGCTGAGGCTGGCGAGGCTGCCCAGGTGACCGGGGGCCCCAGGCCGCGGCGGTTTCTTTGGCGGGGCTGCAGGATCTGGTAAAGGGGAGGCGTCCCGTTAGCTGAGGCACGATTACACACCGAACAGAAACCCCCAAATAACACCTGGCAAGGAGTCACGTCACTGCAACGTACGCTCATCTGGGAAAGCGCATCCCACCGAGGAGCTCCCGACGCATTACAGCTATGTTCTGCTCCCTAATACTCTGGTCATCGGCTGAATTTGGCAAACATCACACTTGCTTTGGTCCATAGGGGGAAAAGTGTTCAAAAATCATGAGGGATTCCAAAGCTCAGAAACTCTGTACATTTAAAACTTGCTCCCTCTAGGGCACCTGGGTGGCTCAGCTGGTTAAGCGACTGCCTTCAGCTCAGGTCATGATCCTGGAGTCCCGGGATCGAGTCCCACGTCGGGCTCCCTGCTCAGCAGGGAGTCTGCCTCTCTCTCTGACCCTCTCCCCTCTCATGTGCTCTCTCTCTCTCATTCTCTCTCTCTCAAATAAATAAATAAAATCTTTAAAAAAAAAAAAAAACAAAAAACTTGCTCCCTCTAAAGTATAAAAACTTCTTGACAGATGATTCATTTCTTCACTTACCTGGTTTCCCCACAGGCTGATATATGTGTTGGTTTCCAGTCTGTGGGGAAAGAAAAGCTCCATCACCAGCGTTCACTACAGGCCGCAGCCTTCCCTCCGTCCCTCCCCCTCTGTCCCCTTGAACACCTTGTGCGAAGTGCTGGGTTCAAAGACCAACGCGATGGGGCCTAATTGGGGGTGGGGGGCTTACAAACAGCCAGAATGCCAGCAGGTGTGGGAAAAGGGCTGTGACGGGGCAAGCGAGAAGGGACGGGAAGGGAACAGGGACGGGAGTCCTCACAGCCAATTAGAATTTCCTTCTAAAACAATGACATCCACGGATGCCTCCAGTCCACCTTCCAGGGGTGTGAAATCCGGGCCTTCGCAGCATCTGGGTCCTGTGCTCAGAAGCTGCCTCACAGCCTCCCGGATGTTCTCCTCACAGGGACGGGCACAGGCGGGGACAGTGACCATGGGAGACTGTGTGGCACTGGGCTATTCTGTATGCCTGTGCCGTCACCCGAAGCCCGTGTGTGTCAGGACGTGCTGTCACAGCTCTATCCGTTCAGGACCAAGCCACCGGCCCGGCCAACAAGCCAACCGCAAGCCCGGAATGTCCACCCCGGGGACAGGACAAAAGACCGTCCCACTGAAGGCCAGCCCGCCGCGGGCTGTCATAGCTGCGGTCCCCCGGCAAACAACCCACCCTAGCATAGCTAAACGAAAATCAATCTTTTTAGAATCACACTCTACTTCTGAAGAGACTTACCTTGCTTAATTTAAATTAATAAACTAGCTTAAAAAATATATTTTAGGGTGCTCTACTTTCTGCTGTAAAGAGGTCTACCAGACGGTGTAGGGCACACAGTGAAAATGGTTCCTGTCCCGGAGACACACCTACTGTCAACACGCGTTGCACGGTCTGAAGGGCTCCCCACACCCTCGGAGCTGGGGACGAGGGCTCCTTCGCAGCTGACTGTGCAGTGCCGCACCGTCCACCCAGCGCGTGCTGTTACCCCTGTGACGGGGACACCTGCTTTGTCCCGGGGACAGGACCCGCCGCCCCCTCGCTGTGTAACAGACGGCGAGACGGTTACAGCTGGTGTGCACCACGGCACAGCACCAAGCCGCTGGGAGAGGGACACAGCCGTGGGGGGGAGGGGAGGACCCGGCAGGTCTCAGTGGGAAGATCAGGCCTTCTGAGAACGTGAGCTCTGCACACGCCGGGTGGGGGAAGCCGTGAAGAAGTCTGGGAGGAGAGCGGCCCAGAGACAGGGCATCCCCCAGGAGGGGCAAACAGCATGGGAGGAACCAGGCGGCCAGGGCAGCTGGAGGATGAGTGCGCGTGCAAAACAGCAGGCTACGTGGCCAGAACTCTACAAGGGGACATAGTCTGTGAGCTGTGTTGTGTTCACCGATCCAGGCAGTAAAACACGCACATTTAACAAGACTTAAAACACAAAGAATTTTCTGGTTGGTACCCAGGTTGTAAGAAAATTCAATTAACTAGAAAATTCTATTTTAAGAACATTCTGGATTAATTCAGCAAAAGTATGTATAAGGCACTGTGTTAGGCCATTCCACAGGTTGCTCTGGGAGGGAAGGCACGGAAAAGCCCCTGCTTTCAGAAGTCTGACGGACGAGCACGTGGGCAGGCTGAGTTCTGGTTCTGCTGCGTATCTAGCTACGGGCCCTGGGCCTTGGAGAAGATTGTAGATTTTAAGTAGGCATGAGCTAGTGAACACACACTAATAACTGGCTAGTGGAAACTGACCCCATCAACTTGCATAAAAGTAAAAATCATTTGGATTTTCAAAATAATATACAAATTGACAGCATGTTCATCTTGTGACAACACCCCTGTATTAGGCATATGTATAAGGAACATTATCAGCCTCAGTTAATGAGCTGGAAAACCAAAGCCCCACACAGTTGAATGACTTCTTCCTGAAGCCACGGCACATTTTCCAGAAGTGTTAAGTTGGAGCATTTCAGGAAGTGGGCCAAATCAGATTGCTATCTAAATTTAGCAAAGAACAGAAGAGGGAAAAGCAGAATGGTCACGGTGTGTTACCGGCCTTCCAGAAGGAAGCGGCCACAACCTAAAACCACATCCCTTGCAGTGAGCAAGCGCAGTCTGGCATCTGGCACCGTGATGGGTCACCTTGAGCAAGTTTTCTACAAGCCTCAGTTTACCCCTTCGAGGAGTGTGGATGGCAACAGGCCTGACTTGACAGGAGTGCTGGGGTCTTAGGGAGGTGGTATGAGGATAGCACTCAGCATAGCACCTTGCAGCACTAAGTACCTTCTCATCAGTACTAAGCGCTCCCACTGTCGCCTAGGCCTGGGTGACAAGGTTGCAAGAGGACCTGTCCCACATTGTCTGCTCCACAGAAGAACCCTTCTCTCCATGTCTAATTCACTCCCCGATTCTCTCATTCCACATGCTTTCTAGGGGCCTGTTATGTGCCACCTTCTGGAACACACATGATTTCCCTTTTCTAATAAAACGTCCTAGTAGTGGTGCTCTGAATAGCCAGTCCCTTGAATACGGTTTACCTTCACGCTGATGCTCAGTCTTACCAACTTAGGACAGACTACCGGTCACATGTTAATCTTTTCATTCTAAGTAAGGAACTCTGGGTGTGGAGATGTTAAATGGCAGGTGACGTGATGTGCTCGTGAGCCAGAGCCTGCTGCGCCTGCACATCTTCCCATGCTGGTGACTGAGCACATCTTTCGGGGGCCAGACCTCAGGGGCAGCTGGATTTCACAGTACAGATTAGAGAAAACTCCTGGTAGGCCATTCCACACTATGCATCTTGGAGCGGGATGATGACCCAGTCTCGTGTATGCATGCATGTGTGTTCGGAAGTAAATCCAGAAGCCTTATTAGGGCTTTATCTCCATAGGTCTGTTACCTGGCAGGCACTGGTTTCTCTTCTGCACTGGGACTTCGTCTCATGTTCAGAGAAATCTGCTTTTATTTCACTCAGACATCTGCTGATGGCAATCTTAATAAAACGATTTAAACTATTCTCCCTAAAAGATTAGGGAATATTTCTTGCATGCTTTAAACATATTTGGAATAACCATAAACTAGCTCTTTAAAGAGAATTTCAGGCATTTCCCCCTACAACACAGAGAAGAAAAAAAAAATCTTGGACAAGTTTCCTGTAACTGTGGAAACTCATAAGCATGCACTAAGAGTGCAAACATTTAGCAAAGGACAGTGGACATGTGTCAACCATATGCAGGTTTCTGTAGAACACAGAGCTGCTACTATGAGGTTGTGCGAGTAAGGGGAGCATCCAGTGCCGGGCCGTGCACTGCAGCTTCTAATGATCTTGGCCAAAATGCTCGCTTTACTTAAAGAACGGATTCCTGCGTTCCATGCTATGAAGATTAGCGAGCGTGGGTATCTTATGACACAAAGTGACGGCCTATGTCCATCCTAGCAAGTCCTGGCAAGAACCGGGCAGCTGCTTACCGGGCCCTGGAGACTTCCATCCTCCCTGTCCATACTGCCTCGAGAGGGCCGCACGTCAGGTTTCTAAAGCAAAGAAAACAAAACCAGACAGTTCCACTCCTGGTTTGAAAATCATGGACATATTAAGTTCCTTCCTCATATGACACGAGTTTCTGCTAGACAGAAAACTCCACCCCAGGGTGAAAAAGAGCAGGTACCCAAGCCTGCTTCCTGGCAGAGTAAGGCTCGCATGTACTTGGCTGCATTGCCGAAGCAGCTAACAGTCCAATTACATGCCTTTCCCCCTTTTCCCCACCCAATGCATCCACCATACAGATAAATCTGGATTTAATATAAGTAAGAGTATGCCAATTTCACCAACCCCACAATAGGCAAAGGAGGTTACATGTCCTCATGGTGCAGAGCGTGTTCAAAGGTCTATTCCTCACGAAGCCCAGTACGTGCAGTGGCCTCTCGCCTGCCTGATATCCGTCCCGTAGCCACGCTGACTCCTGCCTCCCCTTGCCCATGCAGTCTCGCCACAGACCCCTTCTCAGGGTGCACTTCCTACGGCCTCTCCAGACAGGACTGCTCCTTTCTTGGTCTCTGCCAGTCTGCTGTATCTTAGAGATCCTCTCCGTGGCAGGAATCATGCAGTAATTACTTCCCTCATTCGACAGAGAATGTCTTGATGTCTGATTTGTCTTTGTTCACCCTACACCTGCAAGGGCCCGGCGCTGAGCACTGAGGACAGAACCTGTAAGCACTTGTGGGTGGCAGGGCCGGGGTGGTGGTGAGAAAGAAATGAGCTTTGTCTCTCCCCCTTCTTATAAATGTATTTTTACAAAAATGAAACCATGCCATGTAATTTTATAACCTTTATGTAACATTATATAGTAGAAAACCATGTTAAAACCATGTTAAAAGTTGTAAGCCTCCCTCAGCATGAAGGCTGTCCTAAAAAGAAACCAACAGTGAGGCGAATGGGCTCTGGCATCAGGTGGCCTGGGTTCAGGTCTGGCTCCAACCCTTTCAAAGCTGTGTGACCTGGGCCTCAATTTCTTCAGCTTCAAAACAGCACAGTTACAGTACCCGCTGCGCAGGCTTGATGGGAGGATTAAATGAATGAATACTGCAAAGTACTAGATCAGTGCCACACGAACGTCCTGTAAAAGAAATAGTTCTGTCCGCTGAATGGTGGGGCCATTTTCAAAAATTCGGTTGTATAAATAGGTGGTGGATGAAGACTTCTGTATAGAAATGTTTGACTAAATCCCTGCTTATTTCCCTAGGACAGATTTCTAAGATGGAATTACTGAGTTAGAGGGTCTGAACACTTGAAAAATCCTGGGTATAAGCTGCCCAACTGCTGAGCTCTCGCTGGGCCCTATACCATTTAAAACTTAGCCAATTCAATAAACAAAATACTTTATAAATCTGTCCTCCTTTCCTAAACATTAGAACTCTCTGCATGCCGGGCCCCGGGAGGACGGAGGCCATGGGCTGTCAGCTTCCCCATCTCCATGACTTGGTAGAAACAGGACACACAGGCAGGAGGCAATGAAGCGTCTGCATGATTGACTGTGAACAGTGGCCATGCCCCTTGGACAAGGCATTTAACCTCTCCAAACCCATTTCTCAGCTGGGAAAGGGGTAGGTTGCCTCATACAGTGACCGTAAGGATTAAATATGTGCTTAGAACAGTCATGTGCATATCAGACATTTAGCAAACACTTGCTGTAATAAAAATGCAAGGTAGAAGAGAGGTTTCACAGATGAGGGACTCCAAGCTCAGAAGGCAGAATTACAGGTACAACCCAGAGATATTGCAGGTTTGCTCCAGACACCGCAGGAAAGCAAATATCACAGTAAAGCAAGTCAAATGAGTGTTTGGTTTTCCAGTAGTGATCAGTTAAGTTTACACTATACTCTAGTCGATTAAGCCTGCAGCAGCCTTATGTCTAAAACACGATGTACATACTTGAATTAAAAGATACGTCATTGCTACAAAACACTAACCACACTGGCTGACTCTTCCTTCCACTGAAAGGTCTCTCTCTACAGCCTACGATGCTGTTTGACAGCAACTCACCCACAGAACTTCCTCCAAAACTGGTGCCCGTCCTCTCAAACCCTGCTGCCGCCTTGCTAACTAGGGCCATGGAATATTCTAGATCCTCTGTTCTCATTTCCCATCTTCACAGCATCCTCGCCAGGAGCAGCTTCCATCTCAGGAAAGCACGTTCTTCGCTCCTCCCGATGGGCACCTCCGCATCCGTTAGTTCTAGCCTAAGATCGCGGCAGTGCGGTCCCGGTTCTGGCTCCACTTGGGATTCTGGCTCTCCTGCTGTTGGCACCACATCTGCGGAGACGTCCTCTGCTGATGTCCTGAGCCCTCCATCATCCACAAGGGTTGGATCCACTTCTTCCAAACTCCTGTTACTGTTGACATTTTGACCTCTTCCCGGGCCCCGTGAAGAGGGCCAACCAATCACGGGGAAAGAGAACCAACAATCACGAGAACCAACAATCAAGAGAACCAACACTCATGAATGTTCTTCACGGCATCTAGAATGGTGAATCCTTTCCAGAAGGCTTTCAGTTGGCTTTGCCCAGATCCATCAGAGGAATCCCTATCCATGGCTGCTATCGCCTTCTTAAATAATAAGACTTGACGGTCGAAACTACTCCTTGATCCACTGGCTACAGAACGGATATTGTTAGCAGGTGTGAAAACAATACAAATCTTGTCGTCCATCTTCAGCAGAGCTCCTGGGTGACCAGGTGCATTGTCAGTGAGCAGTCATATTTCGAAAGGAATCTTTTTTTCTGAGCAGGTCTCAAGGGTGGGCTTAAAATATTCAGTAAATCACGTTGTAAACAGATGACGGTCGTCCACCAGGCTTTCCTGTCCGGCTGACGGAGCTGAGGCAGAGTAGATTAAGCATGATTCCCAAGGGCCCTAGGACTTCCAGAACGGCCACTGAGCGCTGGCTTCATCTGACAGGCACCAGCTGCGTGAGCCCCTATCAAGGGAGTCAGCCTGTCCTTTGCAGCTTTAAAGCCAGGCACTGACGTCTCCTCTCCAGCCGTGAAAGTCCTAGATGGCGTCTCCTTCCAGTAGAAGGCCGTTTCACTTACACTGAACGTCTGTTGCTTAGTGCAGCCACCTTCGTGAACAATCTGAGCTCGATCTTCTGGAGAACTCGCGGCAGCTCCTACGTCAGCACTTGCATGGTATGGAGACGTCCTGCCTTCAACCTCACGAACCGCTCTTGGCTTACAGCTGGTCTCCTGAAGCTTCCTCACCTCTCCCAGCCTTCACGGAATTGAAGAGAGTGCGGGCCTTGCTCTGGGTGAGGCTTCGGTTCAAGAGAATGCTGTGGCTGGTGTGATCTTCTGTCCAGACCAGTGAAATGTTCCCCATGTCGGCAACAAGGCTGTTTTGCTTTCTTACCATTCGTGTGTTCCCTGGACAAGCATGTATGATTTCCTTCCAGAACTTCTCCCTTGTGTTCACAGAGTGGCTGTGGCATGCCAGAGGCCTGGCTTTCCGCCCGTCTGGGCTTTCGACATGCCTTCTCACTACGCTTGATCATTTCTAGCTTTCGATTTAAAGTGAGACGTGTGACTTTTCCTTTCACCTGAGCACCAAGGGGTCATTGCAGGGTTATTAACTGGCCTAATTTCAATATTGTTGTGTCTTAGAGAATAGGGCTGCCCGAGGAGAGGGAGAGATGGGGGAACGGCCAGCTGCTGGAGCGGCCAGCACACAGACAACGTTTATTTAAAGTTTACCATCTTCTTTGGGTGCGGCTTATGGCACCACAAAGTAATTACAATTGTAACCTCAAAGATCACAGATCATGGGTCATCACAATAAATCTAATAATGATGAAAAAGTGAAGTACTGTGAGAACAACCAAAATATGACACAGACATGAAGTGAGCAAAATGCTGTTGGAAAAATGGCACCAACAGACTTGCTCAATGCAGGGTTCGCCCCAAACCTCAGTACATAAAGAACACACAACGTCCATGACGTGCAGTAAAATGCGGTAAGCCTGTAGCTGCCTGAGCAACATGAGGTGCATTCAATCAGGCAGTAACTACTTAGTGAGCACTCCTAACTGTAGGAAATAGACATTTTTAAAAGTACGTTAGTTTATTTACTTATTTCTGGGAGCTCTATGCCCAATGTGGAGCTCGAACCCACGACCTAGGAGATCAAGCATGCTCTTCTGAATGAGCCAGCCAGGCGCCCTTACCTGTAGGAAATACTTTACTTTTTTACTTAAACAAAAGCAAATGACATTTACTGTTTGCTTATAGAATTAGGTGCTGTGTTTAATTTACATGAATTATCTACTTATATTTCCATATAAACCACATGAAATGACTTATTTTTCCTTATGCACAGTAATTCCCTCATGTACGGTAATTCCCTCATGTTAAAACTTTCCCCAAGACAGGATTTCAATTTCAAAATGAGAAAGCCTGTCTATAGAAAGTCCACTTGTGTTCTATGAATGGAAATATTTAAGCTTTTTCCTCACATGGCCGACACAGTCTGTCTGAGAGATGAGTGCCAACTTGGGGAACTCAATGGAGCCAGTCAGCCCGTCACAGAGCAGGGGTTCTGTTACTGGTTCTGCTCCTGGGTGAAGCTAAATTCTCCCGCTTCCTTCTTACAAAATATTCTAGATTTGAAGATAGCAATATGAAAAGAGGAAACTTATATTTGAAATCTTACAAAAATAGATCACAAACATAAAAAATGTTTGGGACTACTTGATTATTTCCCCCATCAGGTATGCCTTCTCCCTCCCTCCCTTTCTTTTTTATGCAGGTGTAACATATACAATAAAGTGCACCAATCTCAAGTGTACAAGCTCAGTGCATTTTTAGAAATGTGTGCACCCACCTAACACAGCAGCCCACCCAGCAGGCTCCAGTTGAGACCTGACCCCGCCTCACCGAGGGGACTGATCCTCTGACCCCCACCCCCAAGAGCTCTTGCAAGTGGACTGCATAATGTGCACGGCCCTGTGTCTGACGTCTTTGGTGGACATTATCTCTGTAAG